AGACCCTCGGCTCGGCCGTCTTTACCGGCCGGTGCCCTCACAGCCTCAGGTCGCTTTTTTAAAACTGCGGAAAAAAAATATTCGCTTCCCTGCTGCGGAGTATAAATAAGATCAGCGTACGGAAATAAAGGCGCAGCCAACCGACCGGCTTTCCAGACGGGTGAAAATGCTGAGGAATTGCATTAAAGAATTGGAAACACAGTTTAAAGGCACCCGTGTTAAAATTATAAATATTCTGGTGATTGCGTTTTATAGCGCTTAAATTACTACCTTAATTCGGAATTGCGCAGCAACGAGTATGAATCATTTTTAAGGAAATCTCCAGTCTTTAATACGACGCTCCCACTTACATTTATTGTTCGTTTCAGACAAACGATTTTTAAAAATAGCCTTTTCATTACTCCGGTCACAAAATAAACGTTTGCAAACGCTAAATGAGGGTTGAAGAAACCTCCGGCTTTACTTTTTTATTGCTTTCCTATAAATTTAACTCATATTTTCACTATTGTCTCAGGAAAAATATGAAAACATGTATGGAATTAAATTAAATTAGGTAGCCTTAAATCACTATAGTTTAAGGTAGACTCACTAATTGGAAATATTTATGTTTGCGAGGCTGGGATTTCGGCAATAAAAAGATACGGTATATCCCCTCTTTATCATAACATGGGTCTACGGGAACATTTATATCATACCATTGTAAGAAATGATGTGTAGTTAAACAACATTTTTTAAGCAAGGCTTGTGTCTTTTTATGGTAAGCCTCGGTCTTTAGTCAGGGCTAGTTCTCATATTACATGAAATGTACTTTAAGAAGTACTACCTGCTCCAGCTGTCCAGGAAAAACTGAATTATGGAACTAGGAAACATATGGCAGTTGCATATTGCACGAGTAAGGTACATATGAAAGTTATAAATTTCTTTTTTAAGTAACCATTGTAAACGCATTTTTATAGGTTTCACAGTATGTATTACATCTGTAATTTTAATTTTTGCAATATACCTTTTTAAAGATACCTATGTTTTCTGTACTCCAGGGAAGGAAATGCAAAGAGACGTTTATGCGTAAAAAAAAAAAAAAATAAATTGCTGCGAATAAAACAAACAAGCAAGGTAAATAAATGGGGAAGCGGAGCTTCCTCAAAATGGAAAGGACACTATGCCATCTATTGGCAAAGCAGTTATTTACAAAGCCAACGGTACCCAAGCGAGTATTTTCCGTTCTTTGAATACTGCGCAGCAAAGTGTCGCAGTCATAGTTTTGGTATATTACAAACAAATGAATAAAGACATTTCCATGGAGGTCCGGGGAAAAAAAATAGAAAGAAAAAAATAAAAGAAGAAAGCAAAGACAGTTAGTGAATTTATACCTCACAAATTAGGTCATTAACTCACAGGGGGATTTTGCAGCTAATTGCAAACTCCCTTCTTGGAGCGCCCGAGTGGGAGAGGTTTAGCTTTTTCGATTGTTTTATTACTGAACCATGTCAAAGAAGGCTTCTTTTTCTTTCTTTCTTTTTTTTTTCTTTCTTTTTTTTTTTTTTTTTTTTTTTTTTTAAATGCAAGGTTACTTAAGGACTTTATGGCCACAAAACAAGCCAATAGGCTGCTTTAGAAGCTGACCTTACACTCTCCGCTTACTTAAGACTTCCTCCGACCCTTACGCGGGTCTGACTGCAGGATCGGGCCTCCTTTTCCTCTCCTGCCAGAACTCCCCCGAAACACCACCCTGCTCTGCAAAGGCTCTAGAAGGCTTTGCTGGAAGGACCAGCGGCGAGGTGGGGGGGGTGCTGCCGGGCCGGCGGGGGGGGGGGGCCCGGGAGGGAGGGGGCACCGACAGAGCCGCCTCAGCCCCGACCCGCCGCCGCCGCCGGTTCTCGCAAACGGCGCTCGTTCCCAGCGGCGGAAAAGCTTATCCCGTTAGGGGCGAGAGCTACTAGTGGCTTTTCCCGTTTCCAGGGAGGGGAAGGAAAAGATGATACTTCCCCATCAGCTATAAATAAACCGAAATAATCGGACAGATGTGAGGGGAAGAGTCAATTTTTCCTGTTCCAAGCGCAGATCAATTTCTGAACGAAAGTCCCTGTTTCTCCGCCTTGAACTGGCTTTCTTCCTGCTTCTCTCACTTGCTAAGGACTTGGCTTTTTCCCTGCCATTACTAGCCCGGTACTGCTCAGTGGGAAATACGAGAGCCCTTTGTTTTAGCTTTCAACGTTGTAATCTCCCTTTCGCTGTCCCGCAGAACGCGGGTCTGCGGTTCTCGCCTCGATGTGTGCAATGGGGGGGAAAAAGAGCAGATAGGGAAAAAAAGGTTTTCCTCAGCAAAAACACTCACAGATGAATCAGTTGTTAGTGTCATGTGGAGTCTCATAGAAAAATTATTCAAAATTTTTTATGTGTGTGTGTCCCCATACAGAAAAAGAAAAAAAATATCCCTAAAATAAAAAAAAAACAACCCCAAACAATTCCCTCCGTCTAAAACCAGACCCCAGAGGACAGGAAAATATAAAATCCAGACCCTACACTCGTACCCTTTTACTGCTCTTCTCGGTGTGAACGTGTGAGTAGATGGTGTTTTACAAAGTTGTCTGAATTTCTTGAAAGGCCGTTCCTGTGTTTATATGCGAGAGGAACTGGAACGTCTCGCTGACTGAAATGCACCTTGGCCGACTGGTTTTTACCCCAGCAGCTGAACGCGGGACTGGGAGCCCGAAGGCTTCGCCACGCAGCCCCAAGCCCGGATTTTGGGGTCAGCCCCGAGTGTCCCTCCCTCGCGGGGGAGCCCAAACCCACGCACCCGGGGGCGCAGGCACTCGTTTTCTGCTTTTTTTTTTTTTTTTTCCCCGCGAACATCCCCGAAATCAGGCGAGCCCTAGGTGGGTCACGGGCGGCGGCGGCCCACGCCGCGGGACAGTGATGAGGACACCGCGCATCCCGGGATGCCCCCGGGGCTCCCCGCAGTCCCGCATCCGTGCCGGGGCATCAGCACCGCCGACAGCTGCGCTCCCTCGGCTCCTTCTGCCCGCTTTTTGGGGGGACTCCGCGTGGGAACGGGGCCGTCGCGTCCCGACGGCCGGTCGAGACACGGCGGTGGCGGCGGGGGAGCGAGTTGGAGGGGAGCCGTCGGAGGAAGAGGCAGGCGGATAGGCTTTAGGGGGTCGAAAGGCGTTTGTCGAGGAGAAAGCTGAGCTCCATCTGCGCAGCGATTTTTGAAGAAGCCGTCAACCGGGCTTCTCTGCCGCGCAGCCCACGCACGCCGGCTCCCCACGCCGCCCCTGGCTCTCTCCCGCTGCAGCGAGGGTGCCGGCCGAGCCCCTGAGCACGGTCCGATTCCCTCTATCACCTGAAAGAAGAGATTTGGCTCGTCGAAATTAAATTCCTCCGCAATCAGCCAGACCAAAATACTTTCAGAGTAACATCCAGGAGATCATTTCCCCCGAGCTCCCTATCAAGCGTTGCATACATAATATATCTTTTAAATATATTGCTTTTTCGATGTGCTGAAAGGGAGACAGTTATTAAAAACTGTGCGAGCATTCTGCTTGTAATTACCCGGGGAGCGGGGCGAGGCGCTTGTGGAGACTCCAGCTACGTGTCGCAAAGCGGGGCTTTAAAGCCCCTCTCCTTTAAGGTTTGCCTGTGTAAAGCCCCTTGGCGCCTTTCGAAAAATAAACAAATGCGTGTGTGTATATGCGTACACACATACATAATCATATACATCTATATGTATGTATAAACATCCATACACGCGCACACATATATCTCGATTAAAGTCTTCCCATTAAATATAGGCACGCCTCGCGGTCGGGATTCTTTCAGTCGTTGATTTCTGTAGATAAATGCAATTATTTCCTTTGGGGTTTTTTGTTTTGTTTTGTTTTGTTTTCTCCCCCCTCCCCCCTTTTTTTTTTTCTTTCTTATTTTTTTTTTTCTTTGTTTCTCTTTCTCTCTCTTTTCTCAGTGGAAAGTGCACAGTAAGTGTGAAGTATACATCATCGCCCGAGGAATTTGTCTTGAAAAGTCCTCTCAGCCCCCTGGTGTTCAAAGACTAAAGGATGGTTATTGATTATTGCAGTAGATCAGAGCCCGTATTAAACGCCAGGAAAACGAAACGGACCGTCTGGCAGGGCCCTGCTCCCGCCCGCGGCTCTCCGCGGTTCCCCGCTCCCCGGCGCAGCCCTGCGCACCCGCGGACGGCGGGAGAAGCCGCCCGCAGCGATGGCAGGGCGAGGGGCTCGGCTCTCCCCAGCCCCTCTCCCGCCCTCTTCTTTCGCCCTGGGTCGGCAGCAAAGCGCCTGGCGCGTCCTGCAGCGGTGTCTGGGCTGTGCAGTCAGTGCACAAGCTGGGAACGGGGATGCACTGCAGAAACAGACCCTATATATATATATGTAAATCTATGTATACAAATATACACATGTGCATATATAGGAGTTCAGCTGGGCAGAAGGGGCCATGTATTTAGACTGCTTGAGCTCTTGTCAGTTCTCACCATGCTCACACGCACCCTAAATCCACCACTTGATCCATGAAAAACTTCACTAAAGGGGCAGGAGGGGATGCTGAGGGGTGGGAGAGGGGCTGCGACCCTCCCTGGCAACAGGGCAAAGCAGAAACTTCAGTGCCAGCACGTGGTGCAGGACAGGGTGAAGGCCTCAGTTAGCATCTGCCCCAAGCACCCCACTCCAGGGGTACGCAGCCTCCCTGCCCCCCTGCCTGACGACGACCGGGGTGGCAGTTCTCCTGGGGGTGCATGTACCCCTGACCTTCACCAACAGCGATATTATACACCCACAAGCTTCCCCACATGCCTTAGGAAGCGTGGGGCATCTGCCAGCTCTCCAGATCCATGGCTTCTTTGGTGAACGCAAAACAGAGAGCATCTTTTGCCCTTACAAATTTGACCAGCAGTGAGGGAAGATAATACTGAATTTGTTCCCTTCAGCTGGGGTATGATAGTGCTCTTTGGGAAGGGGAGGAAGGCAAATAAAAGAGGGGCTTTGGAAGGCTCTGGGACCTCAGGCTTTAATTTACAACATTTTTTTTTTTCCTTGTATATAAAGAGAAGATAAAGTAAATTGCAGAAAACTTGAAAATGTATTTTAAGTTTTATTCTTTTTCTCTTCCTTTGAGCTGCAGATACTTGAATTCATGACAACCAAGATGGTTTGCTTTATGAATAAGAACATCAACTACCCTATTGTGTCCTGTCACAGTATCCTGGTATTTCTACATCCTCTCTAAGGTCCACTTTCAGACTTAGAGGAATGTGATCTGGGAATTAGGCTTTGGACCATTTTGTTTCCATTTTGCAAATGCAAAGATGCTACAGTGAAATACACAGTGGTTTCTATTTCTTCCTCTCCATAGGCATGTTTAACTCCCATTGACACTGATGTGAGTTATGCACATGTCTAAAGAGGAGAAGGGAGTCTTAGATCTTTTTCTCATCGTTTACATGAGATCAAAGGAAATCAAATAGAGTTAATGAAGGGCCAGATGGTGCTTTATTTGTGCTCTGGAAGACAGTACAAGAGAATGGGAAGGAATATCTATAGTTTAACCTGGCAAAGAGGAGGAAAACTTGCTATCTCATTTAATGGGCACTGAAGCAAGTATGCCATATCTTCAGAAGTGGGAAAGGTTTGCTTGTTTTCTCTCCCTCAGTAGACTTTGGATGCAAGGCTAGGGTTGCTTTTGGAAGGCATCGATTGAAGGTATTCCAGACTCTGAAATCATTCACATTTTGTCTTTTTTGGAAACAAAAATTTCTTTGGACCCAGGCAATTCTTCAGCTTTTTGCTTTTAAGCCATAGGATATGGGTGCTCCTCCAGTCCATGGAAAATGTGTAATCTAAGCTGCTATGGGGAGGCAGGGCTGTAGAGGCAGGAGAGCCTTTGATTTGGATCCTCACTGTGAGCGAGAGTTTGGCAGGAGGAGGCACAGGATGCAGTAAACTTTACCAACTGTGCACACAGAGCGACTCATATCCCAGAGGACACAGACAGGGTTGGGACCATCCTGTGCTGTGCCAGCTCTGAGTCCTTTCCCCCTGGCTGTCGGGCTCTGTCAGCTCCAGCTGCCCCCAGGATCTTCAGAGAGGAGATTATAACTTTCGGCATAGCTAACGACAAGTTACTTTTACCCTCACTGCTGGCAGGATTATCCAAAAAGAGATAAAAAGGTTGTTTCTCTGTAGACCTTACACTGATTGTGCTGGGTTCTTTCTGATGTAGCGTACCCAAAAGTGTCCTATTTGGGAATTGGTAGGGAAAATGGACACGTTTTTTGCGGAGGATTACGCGTGCCCATGCTGATATTGCAGGGATGAGTCTGCGGGGGCAGTAGAGGCCATCGTATTACTTGTCCTGTGTGCATCCCATCATTGTTTTAATGCACGACACGCTTATTCGAGGACAACTTAGCACCAGGCCCCAGATTTCCCAATAGCTTGATGTCATGTGTTGGCCTTGCATGATATTGTAATGCCAGTTGACAAAAAAGTCGCTTTAGTGATGTTCCCCAAGGCTCCTTTTGTTGACAAAGTAGCTCTCTGGATTTGGAAGGCTTTGCAGTTGAGCTGAAGGCCTGGAGGCTTTCCTGTTTTAAAAGCAATGGGAAGAGATGCAACTAACATCTGTACATTTGTTTAAGGATGCCAGAAATTGTTTGTGTTTATGATTCCTTTTCAGAAAATTGTATCAAGATTACTTTAATAGCAGTATAGCCCCATCTACTCTTTGCCCCCTGGTACAAACCTAACATTACAGCTCCAGCTGACATTATTTCCACCTGCTTTAAATGTGTTCATGTGCCTCTAATCCTGTGTGCAGCTTCACATTTGTACCCATTTCCTGTATTTTATAGGCACATGTGGTATGTCGAGGTTTGGAAATGTAAGCCCTCATTTTGTGCTGCTTGTTTTTTAACATTCATTTTCCCTGGCTGTGCTCCTCGTTTCAAAAAAAAAAAAAAAAAAAGAAAAAAAAAAGAAAGAACAAACAATTCTTTTTTTCCTGGTGAGCTTTAAGAAAAACCTTGAGAACTTCCTTGCTCTTTTATATATCTAGCACTTTTATTGAGTGAGTGTGCAGTAATTTGGTGGGTTTACTAAGTAACTTGACAGTTAATGGGATACATCTGCAATAGATTCCAAAATAACTGGAAATGTGGAAAAGACTAGCATTCTCACTCCTTTCTCTTCTTTTGAGAAATTCCTATCTGCTTCAGCTCCATGGAAGTCGAGATTCCATTAAAGATCCATATACGCCGAGAGCCGCTACCAACTATAATAAAACTCATTAGAGCTGAACCTTCCAAAATTGCTATTATATTAGAAAAATATTATGGATTTTAATCTAAAGGATCTGAGAAGCTACACTGAAAACACACAAAACCATACACACACCTGGAGCTACACAGTGGCTTTATGAGGCTTGAGAGCATAAAAGAAACCTCAACCACGGAAGAAAGAGTCCAGACTTCATTTTCCGCAGACAAATTGGCTGCTTCGCATCAGTGACCCATACTCGTGTGCTTACGCGCTCCTGTGAAAAGGAGAATAGCAACATCAACAATCCTTCAGCTGCTGCACCATGACCCAGGAGGGTTGGGAACCCTTTGGTGTTAGGGGTTGGAGACTCAGTTAACTGAGGATGGAAATCTCTAAGAGGAAAATCTCAACCAGCAAGCCCATATCCCTGAGAAAATTTCTGCATTTCCTAAACTGAGTTCTTCATGGCACAACAGCCAAGAGCAACTCCATCCTTTACATTAAGGTTGATTTTCAGGGCTAGCCCCCACTAGAGGGAAGCCCATGGTACTGTGAATCCATAGCAATGAGCAGGACAGGGGAGGAAAAACAACATTCGTAGTGGAGATGCAGAGCCTGAGTGGATGTATTGAGTGTCCCGAGGTTCCTGAGAAAAAAAAGAAGGAACGAGATAGAACAGAGCAGAGCTTTCCTGTGGCCGAGTAACTTCCTGTACGAGGGATCCGTTGATCTAATATCTTTACTGCAGCCCAAGTAACTTTAATTTACCAAATTTTAGATGGCTTCAGATAGTATTTCATGGTAATGAAGACAAACGGTTTTGGTAAACGATTGATATGTCTCCATGCCCTCTGTGACACTGATGTGTCTAGCCTTGCAATGCATGGGTCACTTTTCACTTGTTGGGGTTAAAAAGTTGGTAGTGGGAAGACCTTCATCAGATTCCTTCTGCAATTTGCAAACAAGTTCCCGATACTGCCTTGCCAAATGTCGTTTAAAGCCCTGACATGTGTCTGTTTATTCATTAGAATGAACGGAAGGGTAGAAACATAGTGCTAATGTTTATGTTCCA